GCATTCAACATATCATGTGACACACAAAAATCAATGTTTATCTGTGTTTTTTTTAATATTTATATGTAAATTAACAAATTGAGTAATGTATAGTTCTAAATTTGAATTATAATCTACAGTTTGATACCAAACTTATTTACATAAATTCATGAAATACTAGTTCAATAAAATTTTGAATGCAAGTCAACAAAAGCGATGACATGGTCTTTGACCCGTGATCTGTCTGGAGAGGGTTAATAAGAAAGAGTTGTATTACTAGCTCTCTGTCTGCAATGAACCCATGCGAGAGTTGACGAACCCTGGAGCTAGTGGAAGTATTTTCTACGTCACGACCGATGATGAGTTCATTCTTAAAACAGTTCAATACAAAGAAGCTGAATTTCTTCAGAAATTATTGCCTGGCTATTACATGGTAAGTATTTCAGTACAAGTGTTGAAAATCTAACTAATCATGTATGTGCTTCATGGTTTCTCTCAAAACGAGATGGAACTAAAGCTGGTTTTCCATTTGCTATTTTAAATATTTTTATCAGGTGTGAAAAATTCTGTTATAAAACATCTAAACATAGGGTGTGAGTGTTAACTGTTAACTTAACTGTAGAATGTATTTCTCTTTGACGATCAAAAGTAAAATTGAAATTAATAATAATTAGTCACACTTTTTATTTGAGTGAGTAAAATGATCAAATTCTATTCATAAATGGAACTGTAAATGAATATTACCCCTTGGATGAAAATTTTTCTGTGAAATCAGTGAACTCATGAAAAGTATCATATCTCGGACTAGACTTGTTACAGTAAAACCAGGGAAACATAAATGATTATAACTTCTAAGTTTAGACTTGTTACAGTAAAACCAGGGAAACATAAATGATTATTACCTCTAAGTTTAGACTTGTTACAGTAAAACCAGGGAAACATAAATGATTATTACTTCTAAGTTTAGACTTGTTACAGTAAAACCAGGGAAACAAATAAACATTACTTCTAAGTTTTGACTTGTTCCAATAAAACCAGTGAAATCACAAATATATATTGATTCTAAGATTAAAATTGTCACAATCAAATCAGTGAAATCATAGATATTACTTCTAAAGTTAGAATTGTTGCAATGAAACCAATGAAATCATAAATATGTATTACTTGTAGCTGAATATTTTTACAGTAAATCATTGAAATTTATTCTTCATTTGGCTCTGAAATATTGCATAAATGAAGTAAATTATAATTGTGAACTTTAAAAATATTCAAATAAAATTATATAATAGAAATCATTTTTTAGAATTCTTTTCATAGACGTTTTGACTGTATTATTATTGTAAGTAGTGGAAGGTATTGCTGGAATGCATATTTATAAAGATTAGTAAGTAAGTAAACCTGTGAGTTGAAGTGCTGTTTGTTTATATTATTTATCAGAATCTGAGCCAGAATCCAAGAACTCTTTTGCCCAAGTTTTTTGGACTGTATTGCTATCAGGTATGTCTATTTGGTTTATTTGTTCACAATATTAAAAAATGGGTATAAAACACATTGGAAATATTAAAGATTTTAATAGGAGCTAGTTGTCGACTCATCAGGAATCATTTTCAGGCTAATGAACAACATAGTATGTTCAAATTTACATGTAAGAAACTGAAATAATGATAGTAAAATATGCCTTGTACTTGCTTGTCTTGAACAGCATACAGTGTTGTTGATATTAAGCTTTTTTGGCAGAGTATATGACAAAGTCAGAGAACTGAAAAGATAATAAAATAATGAATAGATCAAAATTAAAATAAATAAAATGAAGTTGACATATAACGATAGATCAAAATTAAAATAAATAAAATGAAGTTGACATATAACGATAGATCAAAATTAAAATAAATAAAATGAAGTTGACATATAACAATAGATCAAAATTAAAATAAATAATATGAAGTTGACATATAACAATAGATCAAAATTAAAATAAATAAAATGAAGTTGACCTATAACAATAGATCAAAATTAAAGTAAATAAAATGAAGTTGACATATAACAATCAAAATTGATTTCAAATGTGTAACAAAAGAAAAGTATTGTTTAATTCATAATGAACAAAATGGAATTATAGACGAAAAATATTGTATGTAAATAACTAAAGTGTTTTTATATGTTTTATAGAAACTTTGTGAAATCCTTTTTTGTGATTTGATAATTGCTTAAGTATCAGTTCAACAAACTGTTTATTTTTTCATGCTAAAACTAAGTTTGTAAAGATGAAAAGGATTTTTCTTTCTAAACCTTATTTGAAATTTTTTTTTCTATAATAATTTATAATTTTGGAGTAATGGAGGATGTCCAAATTTGTTAACATTTATACTGACCATGATATTCCATGCTACACGTTGTTTCCATTGTAGAAAACTTTCATCATGAATGCTGCAGTCAATGTTCTTCCATTGGTATAATGGAATTCTAGGACCCATCGTAGTTGAGTTTTAAAGTATCTATCTTTTAAACACTCCTTGTGTATTTATATAATAATAAACTATAAATATTTCCTAACAATTAAAACCACAAAGCAGTTGTTAACACTAATTTTTTTTCATAACTGAAAATTTGCTGTGTGGCCCCCTATAAAATGTAGTTTGGTGAAAAGAATTAGTGCTTATTTATGTTCATTGTCTCTTAGTTTGGTGGAAAGAATGAGTGCTTAAGTTTTCATTGTCTCTTAGTTTGATGAAAAGAATGAGTGCTTATTTATGTTCATTGTTTCTTAGTTTGATGAAAAGAATGAGTGCTTATTTATGTTCATTGTCTCTTAGTTTGGTGGAAAGAATGCATGCTTATCTGTCATCATTGTCTCTTAGTTTGGTGAAAAGAATGAGTGCTTATCTGTCATCATTGTCTCTTAGTTTGGTGAAAAGAATGAGTGGTTATCTGTCATCATTGTCTCTTAGTTTGGTGAAAAGAATGAGTGCTTATCTGTCTTTTAGTTTGGTGAAAAGAATGAGTGCTTATCTGTCATCATTGTCTCTTAGTATGGTGGAAAGAATGAGTGCTTATCTGTCATCATTGTCTCTTAGTGTGGTGTAAAGAATGAGTGCTTATCTGTCTCTTAGTTTGGTGAAAAGAATGAGTGCTTATCTGTCTTCACTGTCTCTTAGTGTGGTGGAAAGAATGAGTGCTTATCTGTCTTCATTGTCTCTTAGTGTGGTGTAAAGAATGAGTGCTTATCTGTCTCTTAGTTTGGTGAAAAGAATGAGTGCTTATCTGTCTTCATTGTCTCTTAGTGTGGTGTAAAGAATGAGTGCTTATCTGTCTTTTAGTTTGGTGAAAAGAATGAGTGCTTATCTGTCTTCACTGTCTCTTAGTGTGGTGGAAAGAATGTAAGAATGATAGCCATGAATAACCTCCTGCCATCGTCCATCAACCTGCATCAGAAGTACGACTTGAAAGGTTCCACCTATAAACGGAAAGCTAGTAAATATGAACGAAGCAAAGGTTCTCCTACCTTCAAAGACTTAGATTTTATGGAACATCATCCAGAAGGAATTTTACTAGAGGCAGAAACATACAATGCACTGACCAAAACTATACAGAGGGATTGTAGAGTATGTATACACTATAACATTCTTTGTAATTGATTAAATCTTGATTTTAGAAGATGAAAAAACAGCGTTAAAACATAAAGTGGTGTAGTTACAACATTTTTTAAAATCAAAATGTTTTATTATTAAAGTGCAGTATTGTTTCTTGTAGTTCTGATCTTAGTAATGTTCAGTTTCATTATGTAATTATTTTTACAGGTTTTAGAAAGCTTTAAGATCATGGACTACAGTTTACTGATTGGTGTCCACAACTTAGATCAAGCTGGAAGGGAAAAGATGGTAAAGTTGGAATGTTTCTTTGATCACAAATCTTAAACTATTCTTAATGCCCTATAATATACATTTTGTCTGTAGTAAACCTGAAATACTTCAGAGCTTTGGCTGAGTGATTTTGAGTGCTTTCACTTTCAGGTTAAATGATAATTGCAGAGCTTTGACTTAATACTTCTTCCTGTTCGCTTTGTAACACTACAGAACTTTGGTTGAATAATTTATTATCTTGGTTTGGTAACACTGCAGAGCTTTGGTTGAATAATTTATTATCTTGGTTTGGTAACACTGCAGAGCTTTGACTTAATACTTCTTC